ACGCTTTCATATATCTGTAGTTGGCAGTGTTTTGTCCTGGATCCTTTTAGATGAGAGGTATCGCCTTATCCTGATGTGAACAAGCAAATGTGTCTCTGAACTGACTGCAAAGGCAGCTGCAGGGGACCAGCCCAGGTGGGAAGCCTGTGTTACCAGATGAGTCCTGCCTCTACTGATCCATCCTGGTTGACCTTACCACATCAGAGGTGAAGGCCATTTAGCCTAAGATCATGCTGGCCTTTCCGTGTGAGCCTGGGGAAGCAGCCTGTATGGCATTTGGGTCCTGCTCAGACTTGCAGCAGCAGGGTAAGGTCTGGGGTCTAACTGTGGCTGTGAGCATGGCTGCTCTGCTGAGGCAGATTTGGGTTCTCTTGGCCAAACCTGTCAGGGTTCAGCTCTCAGCAGCCATCCCAGAGCCACCTCTTCACTGGCCAAGAATTCTGAGTGACTACCCATGTGCTGACAGGGCACATTTGTGTCCTGTGTTGAGGAATTGCTCACCCAGAGGGGTTTAACTGGGCTTTCCTGGGAAAGGGATGCCTGGGTTAAAAATAAATTTGAAATGGCGCAGTCATTCCCAATGCCTCAGTGACAGGATACACACTACAAGAGGGAGAAAAAAGAGTGCTCAAAGCCAGGTGTATTCCCCTGCTTTTTTCACCTTCAAACTGAAATTAGATTTTAGGGTATAATCAATATGGAAATGAGTGATAGGAGAGAAACTGGACTGTCCTTTGTATTCTTTGCTTCTGAGATATAGATGTACCCTGTGGAGGTTTTCTGTCTCCATACGGAGTCCCATATACTTCTAGATATCCTTGACTGCTTTCCTGCTCTGGACAATATCAGGTGGGGGCAATTTAGCAGAGAATAGAAGCATGAAAGCTACTGATGAAAATAATTAACTGATCCCGAACATCCCTGAAGCAGAGGCACTGGGCTTCCTAATGCTTTGGTATCTCCACCTACCCGAGGGCCCAGAATGCTGGGATTCGATAGGGTAGAGGTGCTGAAGTGCTCATTTCTTCTTTCTGAGGTGTTTCTATTCTTAGGCATCTCTTGTAAAGACAGAGGAAGGTATTTCTCCACTTCTATAATATGGAAGGCCTGGTTCTCTAAATAAGCTGTTAATTGGCTTGCAGAAAACAAAGCAACCAATGACTAGAGGAGAAAGGGAGAAAAATGGATTATCATTGAGAGCAGTGTTCAGGGCAGCTGAACACTTTGCCAGTTCAGATAAAGGATAATGGTATTATCTGGGAGTGTGTGTAGATATAGTTTTCCTCAATACTTTTGCTAGCATAATACCAAACCCAGGTATTAACAAGGTAACCTAGAATGCCATGGAAAAGAAAGAACTAGATCAAACAGCAAATAAAGGAAAAAAATTAAAAAGGAAAGCATGGAAGCCAAAAGAAAAGTAATAGCAATGGGTGAAATTTGTAGGAAGGAAGGAAAACAGAAGATTAGAAACTAGGTAGGAAGAAACTTCTAGTGGGATTGTTCATCCAGTTGTAATTGTCTTTTTACATTCAGCTTTAAAGATTAGAGAGTGCTTTCCTGGAGGCATATATGGTTTTTTATGGCTTGTTCTGCAATGGGAAGCAGTACACCATTATCTGCACACTCAGTGCTTGTCATACTATGAGACTATTTGCTTCAGACCTCTGGGAGGGTGAATATAAATAAACTACTTCTCCTTGCTTATATATGCAGCTAAGCTGGAATTGATCTTAACAAAACAAACCCAACCTCAGGAAAACAACCAACAAAAAGCGTTGGAGTTTCAAATGTGTCTTTTCATACAACAGCAATTCTAAGTTCAAGTGTAGCTATAATCTCTTGCTGATAAATACTCCACAGTCTGTAGCAACATGTTACTAGTTCTCATAAAAATTGTGGCAAATTCTTCAGTGCATTCATTTAAATTTTCATTCAAGATGCATCTCAAAAGACATGTGTGCAGCTGTTACTTCAGAATTTACTGGATGGATTTGCTGGGGAGAGGGGCAAAATAGAATCTTTTCTTGTGAGCTCCAAACTGAATTTATTATGCTTTAGGAATGGGTTTAATCCTGCCATGTTGGATGGAAATCTGCACATAGGTTTTTTTTTTAATATTTTTAAGCCCTTTTTTGCTTAACCAGAGGTTTTCATGGCTCCAAGGGCTCCAACAATAATTCCTACTGATTATACTGGCACGTGCTGGTAGAGGGCAAAGCTGATAGGAGACACTCCAGCTGCTATTGTACTTGGCAGTCATTCATCGTAAATAATTCTGCCGGTATTTCTGCTTACAGACATCTGACAGATGCTTCTTGCAATCTCTAAATAGTTGCATTGTAAAATATATTACCAGGTTTTGAAACAGTTATTAGGATCGTGTTATTCCCACAATCTGGGAACACTATGGTGTTTTTAATTTCCTTGACTTGATATGTCTAATGGCATCAGCGCTGTGCCCTACATACTTCATAGAGAGGTCTTTATACACTGAAGGCTGCATCCCATTAAATCAAAGGAGTTTATCTAGGGTACTAAACTGCTTTTTATTAGACCTAAAACCTAGTGTTTGTCACATGTACTGCTGAGAACCAGTACATCTCGTTGGCTTCCTTCCCTCCTTTGGAACTGCGAGAGCTCAGTTGGGTAAGGACATGGCAGCTGGGGAAATTGCACCCAAACTTCCTAGATTTCACAGCAGACTGCAGGGACACTGCTTGTCAGTAATACAATTAGCACCCCGTGGGGAGTATGTGGTATTGCAACATACCAGGAATTTTTATGAAATTCCTTTACTGCAGCTTGCAAGGGTCTGCAAGTAAAACGCAGATACTTAGAAATGCTTTGACATAACATTCAATCTTTATGCATTAAAAGCAGTATGATGAAGAACTGACAAATTTACTGGGCCCTTCTCTCGGAAAGAATGGTAGGCCACCTTGACAGGTGAACAGATACAACTTTTGGTATCTGAATATCGCAACACTCTTTCAATGAAAAAGAATTTCACAGAAAGAAGATAATACTCATCTAAAGTATTAATTTACTTGGATTAAATGGAAGTCCCAGTGAAAAAAGCAGCTTCAGGGGTACATCTTTTTTGACCGACCTTGCTCTACCTATTTAGAGCTACTCTACATAAAATAGAGTAATAATTACCATTTACAATTGTAACTTTTACAATTACATATCTGCCAGTGTCTCAGTGGGGTACTCATTCAAATCAATAGACTAGATTTGCAAAGTTGATCTGGTCTGTTATCCTTTGTGTTAGAATAAAATAGAGTGGTTCAGTTGGAAGGAACCTGCAACGACCATCTAGACCACTGCCTGACCACTTCATGGCTGACCAAAAGTTAAAGCATGTTATTAAGAGCATTGTCCAAATGCCTCAAACACCGACAGGCTCAGGGCATCAACCACCTCTCCGGGAAGCCTGTTCCATTTGACCATCTTCTTGGTAAAGAAATGCTTCCTCATGTCCAGTCTGAACTCCCCTGATGCAGCTTTGTTTGTTCTCTTGCTGTGGGTGTGGGTACCATCGTGTTGATGTAAGATGGGTGAATTCCTGGGAGCAGTATTTCAGCAGTTCTCAAGAGGAGGAGGAAGAGATTATGCCTCTGTGACTTGTCTCTTCTCCTTTTGCCGTTAAAACCAGTGTCAATCCTTGGTTTAATTGTAACTGCTCTAACCAAACCCTGTTTTGCTCTCATTTAGGAAAGAGAGGTTTGTCTACCTACAGGACAGGTGAAAACTTTGCAACTTAAGAATTTTTGTGTACAAGGTTTTGTGTACTCTGCGCCTGTCCCAAGATTTTGTGTCAATAAAACTTATTCCATATATCACTTACACTGGGTTCTGTAAGAAAAGGGCTGAAAATTGCCATTGTATTTCTTGGTTTGGTTGTGGAGCAGTACCATAAATAACTGAGTAAATCTCTTTTTGGATCTAAGGGTAAAATTTCCATGCAGGAGGTAAATTTTTTTTCCCCCCTAATTTCTATGGTATAACTGGCATTTCTTTCATGACTTTGGGGCAATTAGTCTGTAGTGCAAATCATCTTGGTGTTATCAGAGGCATTTTGAGACGGCTGACAAATGCTTTTACTAAAGCAAAAATTAATTGGAAAAAAGCTTGAAGCTCTGGTATTGGGCACTGAAAACTACATTTAGGCTGAAGAGCAAACGTGCCCATAGCTTGCTGTGAAGTCTGGTTTTCCAGCCTAATGTCCAGATCAAGAGACACAGCAGGAATATCCAAACTATGTAGATTTCCTTTCAATGGAAGTGAAGGATGGGAGGTGACGCTGTGGGCTGTGGCTGTTGTACTTCCTGTGCAGTCATTCCTGTTACTATATAACTCCTGAACAGAACTGCAGCCAGCCCTGCGGACTGGGAATTCTTGAAATTAATTGCTGTTAATACCTGAAGTGCTTTGTTCAGTTCTGGCAACCCAGCTCAAATTCTCCTCCGTTTGGTAAACTGAGATGGGATGATGCATGTGCTGTAATGGATGGACTTGCCATCTGGTATCTTCGAGGTGTTCAGGGCCTCCCTGCTGTTGCATCAAGGCTCAGGGAGTTATCTGCATCGAGTTCCAATTTAAGAAGTTGTTGGAAGATTGAGGAGAACAGTACTGCATCTGGGCTTATTCCTGTTTCTGAGCTCCATTTAATTTGGGCAAATTTTGTTTGCCTATTTCTCAGAGAGGGTTCAGAAAAGGCAGATGGCTGTCTGCAGTGATTTCAGCAGGAACAAGACTGTGGCATGGTGCCGCTTTCTGAGAACAGGAAAAGGGCATATATGGGATCTCCACTAGTATACCAGACTTAAATACAGAAGCCTGATTGTGCTGGCATCTCCCTTGCAGGTTTTCAGACAAAGATTGCAGTGTTTGGAGAAGTGAGCTCTCTCTTGTGTTCTGTAACCATGTGAGCTGTCATGCTGCAGTGTCCACTGACAAATAACAGTATGTCTTATTTCTCACAGGGCTTCCAAAGCAGCTGAGTCCAGGACCTGAAGGAATTTCATGCAGTAGGTGCTGAACTAACTGGCACGGAAAGGAACAGAAAAAGATGGCAGTCCATATTTGAAATAATTATACACGTGGACTCTCGCTGATAAAAAACCATGTCAAAAAAAGGACGTAGCAAGGGCGAAAAGCCTGAGGCACTGATTGTTGCCCTACAGGCTGCCAATGAGGAACTCAGGACCAAGCTAACGGACATTCAAATTGAGCTGCATCAGGAGAAATCTAAGGTGAGTGAGGGTTTGGTTTTAAATAAAGTGTCTGTGCTGAAGCCGAGAAACACATGGGAAAAAATAGTGTAACAGAAATCAACATATGCAATGTAACTCTTTCCTGGAACAGTGGTCTGATTGTTTCTCCACATACGATGTTTTCTTACTGTGGATGTCCCATTGCTTCCGTGGAAAAGACTCCTTTTTACTGAGGTACACATTTAAGAAGCCTCTGGCCCTCAAATGGATTAACATGTCTTTCATAATGTCTTTGGCCATATTCCAGTTAGTGGGTGTCATCCTATCCACTCAGTGTTCAGAAATCATGTAGTGTTGCTCGTTTTTTGAGTGGCTGATATTTCAGCAAGACGTCTTATTTCAGAGTTGGAGTGAGTAGTCCCTAAACGTGTAGCATGACAATGCATGTTGACCCTCGTAACCCATCTGCAGTGCAGCTGAAGCATATTGTTTGCACTAGAGAATCTATGCAACGTTTATAGTTTGTTCAAGTACCAATGGTTGCCAGAGTTACAGTCTCAGACATGTAAAGTTAGTCTAAAGTCAGCTGAGTGTCACGCACAGATACGATGTGTGTGGGCCACGGCCCTACAGCATCGATTTTCCCACAGGTGATGCTGAAGGGGCTTTGCAAAGATGTGTACTGTGTGCTCTGACAGTGTTGCTCCCTCTTCCTTTAGAGGTGCTTCTAGCAGCAAGCACAACACGTCTGTGTTTTATAGTCAGAGTATAGCTTTGTGCAATAAAATTACATGGTAAATACTAAAGTTCCCTGAACTTGGGTGAGATGAAGGCAGTCTTCAGGTTTAGCAGTATGTTTTCTGTAAGCAGTGAAGATAACAAATGTCTGTTTAATAATTCTTAAGAAGTGGACTGGAGGCAGTGCAGTCTGGTGGCAGGCACATTTTCAAAGGATGATGCCTAGTGATACTTTGTTTTTTGAAATGAAATATAATTGAAGTCCATCAGCCTGGCTTTTTGATTCCATTGCAAATAAGCATATATCCTGGGCAAATAAACCCAGAATGACTTGCCTGAAGCTTCCAAACCTGAATAACCACAAATCCTTCAGCATCTAAGAGGTCTTTTTTATCACTTATTTCTTTTAAGGACAGATGTTCATGCCAATATAGCAAGGTTAATTGTACTGGTAACCTCAGACGACTGTTAGCATAGCGGAAATTGATTTGTGTAATTTAGGAGAAGCTAAATGAAAACAAGAATAGCCAGTTCTGTGTTATCTGATGTTCTGAGAATCTGGTGGCATTCCCCCTTTGCCTATGAGTGAGATTTGTAGCCACTAGTTTGCTACCTTTTAAAATAGACAAGATTTGCAAACTGAAACAAAGCAGACATCATCACTCCTTCAGACTTATTCTGCATCCTTTTCTTTCAGAGATGGTTAATGACAGTCTTGGAAAGCAAAAATGTTTTTTGATTCTTTTGTTTTCACTGCAAGCTTTGGCATTTGTGTGTTGCCCACAGGCAAGGCTTAGTTTTCTCTTCAGGAGCTACAGGCTGGCTGCCAGAAAATGCATAGCCAGTGAGCTTCTGTAATGCTTTCCACTGTATTCCGAGCCTTTTGATATCACTGCAGCTATGGAATTCCAACAACTAAATTGGACTGAGTGCTCAGGTTATTAAAGGAATTGTCATTGTGGAGTAGTGGGGGGGTTAAAAACTCCACTCTTGGGAAGTAGATCACACTTCTGAATTGTTCTGCAGTTTGGATTGAGAGTAGCAGACATCATGGCAAACTTTATTTTAATCTGGAATTAAGATTTTAGCCTGCTCCTCTTTTTTCCTAGACATAAGCAGGTTCAGATTTGATATCCTGGTACAACCCCATTTGTAAAATCAGGCTAGAAACAGGATGCCAAACTGGGCAGGCACCCACAATGTGGGTAGATTGGATATTAGGAAGAATTACTTTACTGTGAGAGTTGTCAGGCACTGGAACAGCCTGCCCAGGGAGGTGGTTGAGTCACCATCCCGGGAGGTACTTAAGAAACGTGTAGATGTGGCACTTCAGGGCATGCTCTAGTGGCCGATTGTAAGGGGGTTTTTTGAGTGTTTATGGTTGGATTCGGTGATCTCAGAGGTCCTGTCCAACCTGTATTGGATGATTCTGTAATGTTAGAAGGAGCTTTAGGAAAGCATTTATCCCACAAAGGGGACAAACAAATAGGACCTTTGGACCTTTCCTGTCTCTTCTAGCAATGAGTTTGCTCTACCAGTGAATCCAAAGAGGGTAGAAACCTCTGGGCCATTATGGTCTTTTATTGAACAGGTCTCTTTTCTGTTACTTCAAGTGTAATCTTTTTCCCTCAAGGCCTTCATTCACTTTCCCTTTCTTCCTTTCAGAATGGTATATCTACAAGTTAGCCTAACATCTGATGGCCTTTCAGTTTAGTAAACTAGGTGGCCTGGAAACAGGCACTGGTTGAGGCAAGACACCTGGAGAAGACAGGGCTGTTTTGGCTTGAGGGAAGACAGTGTAAAATCTATGTGAATGCCCCAGGAGCTGGCCCATGTTTTGTTGTAGGAGGGTGGAGGATCATCTAGGGTCTACAGCAGGATCTTCCTTGATTTGACGTGGCTATGTGTCTGGGCAGGCTTGTTTTTATAACATTATGTTGGTATCAGGTGACTTTCATTTTATCTAAATGCAGGTTGCTAAACTTGAAAGAGAGAAGACTCAAGAAACGAAGCGTATCCGCGAGGTGGAGCAGCGCAAGCAGACTGTGCAGATCACGGAGCTGAAAGCCAAACTCCATGAGGAGAAGATGAAGGAGCTGCAGGCTGTGCGAGAGAACCTCATCAAGCAGCATGAGCAGGAGATGACACGGATGGTGAAAGTCCGTGACAGCGAAATCCAACGCCTCAAGTCAGCGCTGTGTGCGCTGCGGGACGGGAGCAGTGATAAAGTAAGGACAGCGCTGACTATTGAGGCTCGTGAAGAGGCCCGAAAACAGTTCGACTCCGAGCGCCTTAAGCTTCTGCAGGAAATTACTGAACTGAAGTCTGCCAAAAAGCAGGTAGATGAGGCCCTTAACAATATGATCCAAGCCGATAAGATCAAGGCCGGGGATCTTCGGAGTGAGCATCAGTCCCACCAGGAAGCCATTTCCAAGATCAAATGGGAGAGTGAAAGGGATATTCGCCGTCTGGTCAGTAACCAAAACTGTTTGTGTGTTCTCTCACACTGTAGTGAATTTGGCTCTTGTGCCTCTTAGCTTTTGTGAGTAACAGAACTCTGCAACGTGCCTTGGTTGGCAAAAGTATTAAAAACTTCTCATGGTCATTTCTCAGCAGTGAATAGATTGTGGTGCGTCAGTCAGAGGAACAGCTGTGATAGCAGCTAACACCTTAAAGTGAGAGGGTGAACACTGCTATGAAGTAAATCATACTACTAGGTTGGAGAAGGCTGAAATGTTGTTGCCTTTACATGGTAATATCATTGTTCTGGTGTTTCTCTCATTCAGATGGACGAGATCAAGGCTAAAGACAGGATCATATTTTCCTTGGAGAAGGAACTGGAGACACAAACAGGCTACGTGCAGAAGCTGCAGCTGCAGAAGGAGGCTTTGGATGAGCAGCTCTTCTTGGTGAAGGAGGCGGAGTGCAACATGAGCAGTCCCAAGAGAGAGATCCCAGGAAGGGCCGGGGATGGTTCCGAGCACTGCAGCAGCCCGGTACGCGGGTTTTACTGGCCCCTGCAAAACAGAAACAGGGCTGTGTTTCTTTTAAATATATTCTCAGGTTCTGGGAAAACATTCCCACTCTTACTACAGAGAAGTTATGTCTGTAGATTCTTTAGAGAGAATGCTACTGGGACAAAGCTTTCTAAGGCTGTTTCCTCAGCTGCTCTGTTTACAAACATAAAACATCTTAAATAATTAGTGCTCCCTTGAAAGAGTCATTCCATGAACATAACTACCTGGGTAGCATGCATTCTCAAAACCAGATGCAATTGGGCAGGTGGGCAGGGAGAAGGCTGATGAGGGGAATCCAGGAGACTCTTAGGAGATCCTCCTCTTTCTGTCTTATTCTCTATATACATGACCCTTGCTGTCATTCACAAAGCATGCAACTCACTGGGTTGTGTGACTAAATATGATGTTTACACAACAAATGTGTGTGTATATATACACATATTTACACACATACAAATAAGGAATAATAAAGCAAATGCAATTGATACTGAAAAGGATGTTGTTACTTTTTCACCTGACATAGTGCCTCAGCATGTAGAAGCAATGTATAGGAAAAGGCAATAAAAATTAGAATATTTTAGCTTCTTGCTTTTCCTTTCCCATCATAAAAAATATTTACATCTGTTTTGCTGTTTTCTCTCTATTTTTTTAAACAGCTGAAAATTTTCAATTAAAGTGTCCCCCAAACCAGATACTTTCTTCCAAAAATATATATATTTTGAGCCAGCATGCTCAATACTGTAAAATTCCATAAATATAATTTGTTGATGATGACATCTTAAGTTGACTGGTGTGTGGTTTTTGAGGATTCTTTTCCCAATTGTGTTTTGAGAAGAGTCAGTAACTGTATTGTGTTGTTGCCAATGAACAGGACCTGCGCAGAAATCAGAAGAGGATAGCAGAGCTGAATGCCACGATCCGGAAGCTGGAAGACAGGAACACGTTGCTCGGTGATGAACGAAACGAACTGGTGTGTGAGCTTTGCACTCTCGGACAGAGGAGGTCGGGAGCTGTAGGGAAGGGCAAAGAGAGAAGGATCCAAGGATGGCAGCCAGTGATGAATATGCCTTTTCCGTCCATCAGGCCAGTCACTCAGGAGGCTGAGGATGACTTTTTATCCTAGAATTAAACAGTAATTTAATTGACGTTACATGAGTACAAAATTACAACGGAAGTTGAGACAGAGAGGCAGATGTGGGATCCAGAGTGAGTAGGTACCTGTGCAAATCTGTCTTCTAATGAGAAAATCAGTGGGTTTCTTGCAGATAAAGCACAGGTCATTAGGGACTTCTGTAGCAGCTTTGCAGTCTCCTGACTCTGTGTTGGGTTGCTTCATCTCTATGTCTGAGTTTTCCCATAGATAAAGCTAGCTTTTAGAAATGGATATGCAGAATTATGCTTTGAGATTTACAGATAAAGTCAGCTGTAAGCATCAGTTTCATTAGATCACTTTGGCGTTTTGCTGGGACAATAGTCCAGTGGGAAAGTAACAAAATAATTCTAACAAAGGAGGGAGAAAAAATATCTTTTATTTGGATTATTTACAATTATTAATTGCTATTATCAATCTAGTTGAAGCGTGTCCGAGAAGCTGAGAAACAATGTAAACCTCTTCTGGAAAAGAACAAGTGCCTCACGAAGAGAAATGATGAACTTATGCAGTCTCTGCAGCGCATGGAAGATAAACTCAAAGCAGTCACTAAAGAAAATATAGAAATGGTTGGTACTGAAGAGCGAAATGAGGATTACTGCATGATCTATGTTTGTTATGATGGCCACATCTGCATAGTGTGTGCACAGATATACATAGAGAAAATGTGTTGTATATAGTTTGTAATACTGCTGATAAGATACAGCCATGTACATAATATAGTCTATGTATAATAGACTTACATACCATAACAACGTGTATTGTGCATACATGTGCAATATATTTAAATGAATGCATAATCACAGTCTATAACACTGTTACAAAAATTAGAATATTCAGTTTCAGTTGTTTAAAAAAAGAAAAAAAAATAGTTATATCATTGAGTCATATCCCATTGTGCTATTTTGCATCTGGAACTCCAAAAGGAAGCTATTTAGAGCGATGTTTTCATCCAGAGTGGTGTTCAGCTTTGAATGTGCATGTTAGAGCTGATGATGGCAAAGTGAAGTTCTGTTCTGCCACTGAGCACATACAATATAAGACACATGCATGGCAGATGGATAGGGGAAAGGGAGAATGGTGGTGGCAGAAATTTGGCTAGGGTTATAAATTTCATATACCAGGGCTATATGAAGCGGGGTTGAAGCAGTTATTGTCTGTATATCCTTCAAAAGGAATTGTCCTGAGTATCAGGTAGGATCCAGTCCCTGCACATGCACCAATGTTGCTTTGTCATTAATGAAAAAGGAGGTGGAAGTTCTGGGTTGCCAGATGTAAACTGGCAGGCTGAGATGACTTCTTCCCCTGCAAAGCATGTTTGTGTGTCTCGTCTCTGGCTTGCAATAGCCCTGTCCCCATCCTGAGCAGGCTGGCTTTTCTGCAACGGAGGCAGCTTTCCTGCTGATTAGGATGAGATGATCAGATTCACTTTCTTGTCTTATAGGAAAAAGACTTTAGTGTTACAAGGTTAATCCTCTTTAATACTCTGCAATTCACCCATGCCCAGAAGACAGATAAACTTATTGCAGGTGTCATAGGTCAGAATTCGTCTTCCACAGCTGCGGTAGGACGGATCACAGCCCCTTCAGCTCTCCCGCAGCAAAGAGAAGGGACGTGGGAACCTGCATGCATTAGACATCGTGGTGCATATATGCACACACAGCACACGTGTTCTAACTTAGCCCCCCGACATCTGCTCTTTGCTCTATAGATGCTCAAATTATGGAAGTTAGCGAGCTGTGGGTGACTAGAATAATTCTGACGGGCTGTAGCCATGTCTTTTCCCACATATGCTCGGGAGCAGGCAGGATGTGGACTTTTAGTTAAAATAGATCTGGTTCCACATCTGTTACCTTTCATTCTGTTCTGACTGGGTGCACATCTTTCACGTGACTAAAGTTTTTCTCACTGTGATCATATGATGGGTGTCAGTAAGGACATGGGAGTAGATACTATTTGCATGCCCTCTGGAGAGGTAGGGAGTTCAGCTGCATTTGCCACATGTTGGGGTATCTTGATGCATGGCAAAGGAAGAGCTATAGTATATGACCTTTAAGAGCTGCTCTAGAGGCTATATTGCCACACAATATGTGAATAGATAAAGCTTTGTTGTTCTGGTTGAAAAGCTCAGCCTTGCTGTGCTGCCTTATTGTTAAGAAGTGTTGATGGGTGTTACTAATGTTATAAGAATGGTGTGTCTGAAGCATATTTAAAGGGCTGTACAGCTTAAATGAAAGTTAATGTCTAATTTTTAACTGAAAGGTGGTCTTTTTGTCTTTTAATTGCTGGATCTTATTTTATCTGTTTCTTCTTCTTACCACAGAGAGAAAAAATGACATCACATCCTCCTCTAAAGAAATTAAGATCACTCAATGACCTGGATCAGGCTAATGAGGAACAAGAAACTGAATTCTTGAAGCTTCAGGTCATAGAACAACAGAACATAATTGATGAGTTAACACGGGTATGTCCAGAGCACCAGGAAATTAGGAATGACTCCTGTGTACAGTTCACCACTGACAGTATTTCTTATTATAACTAGAGGTCTGAGGGTTAATGTCTTATCTTACTTTTAACACCTGCAGATTTTTAGATGTAGGTGTGCATGAGTGCACCTTAACTGAATTTCTAGGGGGTTGGAAGCCCAAACAACTGAAAAGTATAACTCTTGTGTGTGAGTTGAGCTCTAGAAATGAACGTGGACTAAGAACCATGGAGCTTGGCAAGGTACCTCCATGCTCACAAGGCAGGGCAGTGCCAAGGTGTTTCACCATTATAACTAAGGTCCCATTAAAATGTTTCTGTAAAAAGAGGCAGGGACACAGTACAATATCGTGTGCTGTTAGACTGTGGTTCTTTAGATCTTCTGTCATTTAGTTCTGACAATCCCTTTTTCAGCTGACTTTGCATTATGATGTTGAGGGGAAGAAGAAAGAGACTGCAAAGCAGTCTGTTGCCTCTTCTAAGACATCATTGCTAGGAGTGGAGAGATCGACACTACCATCGTTTTATGACTTTGGACAGAGGCAGCATCTCCTCTGCAGGGAAGGCGGGCAGCCTCTCGTACACAGCCCAAACCAGTCCCAACAACAGGCCTCCCAGGGATTTTAACAGGAAATCATCGGCACCTGTCATTTGACAGCCTGTCAAGGCAACTGCACAATAAGGGTTGTTTTTTCAGATATTCCATCTTCCCTTCTTCAGGTGGTTTTCAGTTGATGCCTACAAATGTGGATATGAATCCTTCTACCTGGAATCAGATTCCCGTTGAGCATATGAACAGATGAACAGTTGGTGGAAGCCCGCAATTGATTTCCTTTGTAGATTTTGCCTTCTACAGCTGCAAACAAAAGCAGAGAGAGTAACTTTTTAATCTTATTTTCCAGGACAGGGAGAAACTCATTCGTCGCAGGAAGCATAAAAGGAGCTCGAAGCCAATTAAGGTAAGAAGAAAAACTGTTTTCAGCTTATAAAAATACTATTAGGCTCTGTAGGAAAAAACACTTTAGCAATCTGATTAAAGAGCTTTGTGGATTATAACAATCTGCTTTAGTGATTGGGTCTATAAACACCTCAGTTACTTTGGGAGAGCTTTTTAAGTCCACTTAAAAATTCAGTTAAGGGTGTGTAGCTATTTTATTTTCAGCAAAATGGGGATTTTCCCCCCTGCTCTGAAAGAGTAATAATCTTCCTTCCATCTGGTTTCTATAAATGTTGGCCTCGAGGTATATTATGCTGAGATGTATTTACATTTCCAGACACCTTCCCATCTATCTTCTGCTATCTATTTTTCACAGCACATATGGGCTAAATCAAAATCCTTGTGCGTCTTTATTTTTCAAGTGGAAGTTGCTGCCTGAGAAATTGAGTGTCTTTCTCTCCTGCTCAGTTCCCCAGGCTTTTGGCAATCCCCAGTGTTACCCTGAACGGGGTCAAGTCTGAAGCTGGTATAATGTACCATTTTAGAGCTGAGTAGTCAGTAGTGGTAGAAATGCCTCCTCTGTCAGCTAGATGTGAAGAATGACTTTTCAAAAGCCATGTTCCACCTCCAGAAAGCGGAAATACCATGTAGAAAACAGAGCTTGGTGTCTTTTTGTCCTCCAAGGGCATCCCTTAGTACATCAGCCATGTTCTGTGGAAGTAACGCAATGCTGTCCTACACACAGAGAATTTCAGACTGGTAAATCCTAGATGTGTTTCTATATCGGTTTTGAAGCAATACACAGAAAACACAACTGGGAGACAAGGACTAAAATGTATTTTCATCAGTCAACTTTATTTCTAAGCCAGAGATCATAACATGGGAGAATATGGCTATTGTCTTCACTTGGAAAAATATGAACAACAAAAGAGAACATATGCAAAAGGTTATTGGCATCTTTGGTACGTGTATTTTCTGTGATTCAAATTCCAGGTTTAGAAGGTTGTAACCTGTCAGCAAAAGTGAAAAATGTTGCAAAGCAGAAGTGCATCTTCAATGCTGGTCGATCAGTTTGGCTGCAGAATTATTCATAAGTCAAGTATTTAAATGCTCAAATCTGTACTGTGAAACCAAGCCTGCAAGGTTAAACATCTATACGTTCATAGATGGCATGGCTCACAGCTTTCATTTGATTTAATTCAGTTACTGAGATTGGAGATAGTGAGCTGTCTCAACCAAACACACAACCAAACTGTGTAGTGTGAGCAGCCTCTTACAACATGTGGCAGCTAGTGTAGTACTGGAGAGATGTGTGAGATAAACATTCCTTCACACTAGCTTTGTATTAGCATAGCTCTCGCTCCAACAGTAATATCAACAAGAGAAGCACTGAGCTATTAAAAATAATCAGCAGTGTCTGTGATAGGAGAGTTCCCTGTTCTGCACACATTTCCAACTCTTAATGGTGTTATCTTTGCACACCAGTCTGCATGTTGATCAATGTCTTCTGAACAGCTTTGGGGTTAAGGAACAATTCTCCTGCCTTCCTGCAAGGGCAGAGGCTTTACTTCTAGCATGTTGCTGCTCCCATTATGTTTTCCAAGTTTTAGACTGAGCCATATCCTCAGCTCAGAAAAATTAATCAGCAAACTCATTCTCCACCAGTTCGAGACCTGATTTTTCAGTATGGTTCCCTTCGGATTTGTTTGGGGATGGTAATTGCAGGGGTAGCCCATTGTTCTTGTTTTGTGTCTTGCCTTAAGTAACTAGCAATGTGATTTTGAACTAACCTCCCCGCCATCAGAACGTCATGCTACCTGGAGATTAGAAATCATGTTTTCCCTTCTTTAGAGACACGTGGTGGATACGGTTTTTGGGTACGATGATGATTCCATGGATTCTGAAACATCCTCTGTGGCATCATATAGAACAGACAGAACACCAGCAACCCCAGATGATGATCTGGATGAGGTAAGATCTGACTCTTTCCATAGGCAAGGACAAGTTTTCAAGAGATTTTGACTTCCACAATAAGTGGCCAGGCTCTCAAAAACACTTTGCTTTTTATAGTGTGTATTGAGTGATAATCTGGCCTCAATTTTGGTTACTGATATGCTGAAATGCCAAGAGGTTCTTTAAAAATCTAGTCCGTAGAGACTACAGCTATGGACTTCATTGCAATCTGAGATGACTTTTTTCCTCTCTCCCTTTAAGAAAATAAACCAATCACATTTGGTTTTTTAGCTTAAAGACAAACAAATGCTGTATAAATTCCACATTCTTGTTACTTCATATGACAGCAAGCTCACCAAAAAACTAAGACCTGTAAACTAACTATTGTGCTTAAGAACACACTTGCATTCTTTGCTTTGGCAGTGTTCTACTGTCTCCTGCTTAGACACGTCCTTTCTTATCCTTCAGGGTTTAGCAGCAGAAGAATCAGAGCTGCGGTTTCGGCAGCTGACAAAGGAGTACCAGGCCCTGCAGAGAGCGTATGCGCTACTGCAGGAGCAGACGGGAGGCGTCATAGATGCTGAAAGAGAAGCCAAGGTCAGTATTAGTTTGAGGGTAAAAGCATTTCATTGCTATCAGGACATACAAACCCCCTCAAAGTGATGTACAAGGGAATGGATTTATGTACAACATCCATACAACTGAGAGATGTTTGCTTCACTCATTTGATGAGTACATTTAAAGAGAGTGACAATTAAGAATGGCCATGATCACTCAGGGGCTGTCCTCCCCCTGAACCTGAGAACTCTGCAGTCAGGCAGGCATGCCAACGCAGTTCTGCAGTTTGGCACAGAATCACAAGGGTTTCTCGTCTTTTGTCCAGGTGTGAAGGGGTTGGCCAATCTGAGGGGTGGCACAAGACATTGCTGAGCCAGAATCTTTGTAACAGTTACTCAGTGGAAGCCACAACACAAACCCAGACTCTGCTGTGTTTGGTTTCCTTTTAATACCAGTCACATTGCTGGTTTTTTTTACTGTTTAATGGTGTACCTGACTTCAACAGGCTCAGGAGCAGATCCAAGCTGAAGTCCAGAGATATAAAGCCAAAATAGAAGATCTGGAGAAAACTTTGGCACAGAAAGGGCAGGTAAGCGCTTGTTGTGTATTTTCTTTTCCTATTTTGGATTCTATCTGCTCTGCTTACAGACACAATTCTGCTTACCTGGCACAATTTATAGACTTTCATGAGAATTAAAGTTGCTGTTCAGTAAACAAGCAGGTCTGCTGAGTTCAGAAGTTTGGCACAGCCTGGTAGACTAATATGCTGTTATTCTGTAAACACCAGTTCGTTCCTGTAGGATTTTAAAGCCTGAATATTGTGGTTCCAATCTTCAATAAATGTACCCAACCTCCTGGAGGTGATTATGTGATTATTCTGTAATAGTTCTGCTTTATCCAACAGGACTCACACTGGGTGGAAGACAAACAGCTTTTCATTAAGAGGAACCAAGAGCTTTTGGACAAGGTATGTTCCCAGGGTTTGTGTGCTCACTCTGAAGGGTAATCTGGATCCTACAGTACACTTTTTGGACATGCAGTCTGGTGCTTATAGGTCTGGAATAAGGACGGAACAGCATAGGTTAATTTGAGCAGGGTAGCATACAGAAAGAGAAGCTCTCTCCAGCTCTGCTCAGGCACTGTTGTTGCTGGTGGTTGCTGATGCACCAGGTCTCTGATAAGCTCCAGCCTGAGGGCTTGAAGCTTTATTCGTCATTCTGGCTCTGAAGTGCAGACCCCTGTGTTCAAAGAGCCTTGCACTGAGGCGTCGGCTGCTGCTGTGTCATTCCTGATAGATATTTGTCCACCTTATTCCTAGGGTCCTCCAACAATAATGTCTCCACGTCTCTCCCAGACAATCTGTTCCAGTGCTTTACCATGAGCAGTGTGTTTAATAGCTAGTGCAGACTAATCTAGTAGCTAACCTGACACATCTGTATAGTTAACTTCCCCACTGATCTTCACTAGGGTTGGATTCTTTTAGGAAAACCTCCAGCATAAGCATTTTATGCTGTTTAGGAGGTTGATGAGCAGTTCACCTGTAAACTAAAGACTCACTGAGGCAAAACAGCAAGTAGTGAATCATCTCTAGAGTTGGTATTTTGCACTGCCCATGCAACCTCAACTACTACTCACCAAATATTCAATGTCTCTTGTAAAAGTCACACAGATCCTGAATTTACATATTTCTATTAGATAGAGAAACTGGAAGCAGAAAACCATCGTCTGCAACAGGAGCTGCAGGATGCCCGAGACCAGAATGAGCTGCTGGAGTTCCGCAACCTGGAGCTGGAGGTGATGGATTCTTTACAGTAGAGCTGGTAGCAAATTAAACTAGTGCACTTGCACTGGACACCAACTCTAATCTAGTGTTTACACCTGCATTGTTGTGATATAACAGAGTTATAAATCAGGCCCAGCATTTTTAATTGTGAGCTGGAGTATGTCAGCTCTAATATCCTGGAAACAGTAAGCTCCATACTTGGCTGGTTCACCTGTCTGAGCTGGGTGTCAGGAGAAGTGCACTTCTCTAGCCCTCTGCTTGAAGGACTGGAGCTGTTTGAGGTTTAAGTGAGCAATCATTGATGAAATTGCATAAGCAGTTGTAAGAGAAAGTATCATACCCAGGGCTGTTGCCTTCCAGTGTCATACCTGTGGGGTACAGATCTATCCCTCTGACCCAGCCAATGTTGAGCTGCCCTACCCAGATCCATCTGTACCAGCCAGTCGGAGCACTCCTGGTTGCAGAAGAGAAAGGTGCTGTTGGCTCCTGTGGCAGAGGGAGCTGAAGCCAGGCCTGCGACAGCCCTTGGGGTGCTCTGGCTCCGCGGGGGGATGTCGGCAGGCCCTGGAGCGCTGGGTGGGCTGTGGCGTGCACAGGGCTGTTGGTGCTGGCGCTGCCCCCGTGCTGTGAGCTCCTGAGGGGGGCCAGGGTACGGAGCTCAGGTGCCAAGGGACGCAGGGTCCCTGGATGAGGATTTGCAATGGCTTCTGTGCTATTGATTCCTGGGGCGTGTTTAGAATTAATCTCTCTGTTTCTTGGTTTCTTGCCACCGTGGTGGGGATAAGAGACACTTTATACAGGTGAATGTGGTCTTGCTCCTACAGCCTTTTATCAGCATTCTTCCTGATTCTGTCATGTGTGAAATGCTGACAGTACCTGCCTAGTGCGTGTAGTGTTCGGCCTGGAGTTGTTCTAATTTGTAGGCCCCAGCACATTGAACAGCCACAGCCTGTCTGCCTGCTCACAAGCACTGTCACATCTGCAGGCACTGGGCATGCTCCCTGTTGAGCAGCTTTCCCTATGACCTGTGTTCAGTAAGAAAGATCCCTCAGGCGACACTGGAGATTGATGGAGGAGCTCCAGAAGGCTCTTCAGGCAGCCAGAGGAGTGGGTCAGACCTCGATCTCCTCTTCCCAGACTGCCCCCAGTTACAGATTTGTGCTACCAGCACCAACCAACAAATGTGTCCACTTGGTCTGTTCTGGTTTGTTGCTCAGTTGGGGTCCAAGGCCATTCCGAGCTTGTAGGTAACACAGAGCCTCTCCTGGCTTTCATGAATCAGTGCTGTGATGGATTTGTCCCTTATTTATAGAACTTTCCCACAGTTTTACCCGACAGCTGTGTTTCCATATGACATGGGCCTGGACTGATCAAATGAATTACATGTTCATTAAAAAAATTTTTTTGAAAGTAAAATTTGATCTTCCCTTCTGTGTTTGCCTGAATACCTGAAAGGGATGAGAATTAACATCTTCAAATTTTTGTTTTTGTCTTTGGTCTTTTAAAACTGGAAAAATATTTGTAGATTTTATGCAATGAAGGTGTGTAAATAGCTAAGTTGATCCACTTTTTTGAACTTAATACTTTCCGCAGATACTAGAACATACCTCATACCAAATGTGTAATCTGAGTATCCTAGTAGTCTTAAGTCAAATACCTTTTTCTAAAGGGAGTATTTACAACAATGTAGAGTTGTTCAACTCTTAAGTAAATCACTTGAGTTGAAGCTAGGTGACAGCCTTTCTGCAGACGATTTGCAAATTGACATAATTAATCAAATGAATAATCTCCTATAAAATAAATATCTCAGGTTTAGGATTCTATCCCACTTGGTACACTATTTTCCAGACTAGGTCTAAATGTTTCTTTGACTTGTAAAATGAGGAGCTTGGCATTGCAAAGCATGATATAAACAGTAGCTATGGTATCTAATGAGTTCTGTGTGAATTTCTTTCATTCTAATATGTTCTCTGGCGTCTTTTCAATTTATATCCAGGAAAGAGAGAGACGGTCCCCACCATTTAATCTCCAGATTCACCCATTCTCGGATGGTGTGAGCGCTCTACAGATCTACTGCATGAAGGAAGGGGTTAAGGTAGGTCAGTTTTATAATGCAGCACTTCTGACTACAGGAGTGGTGGATGCTGGCTGTATAAAACATTACATTCATCTCTGCTAATAACTCCACTACACATTAAGCATTTAAAGTCAGTCTAATGTAAGAGTGTGTGATGACTGACACAATTGAATTGGACTCATAATTTTCACTATAATGATAAAACTTAGTTCAAAGGCAACTGAAATCAATGTGATGTATCTCCATGGGATAAAACAAAATGGTTGATTTCAATGTGGTTCGTAGGAGGGACGAATATTGCAGCTGTGATAAAATATGCATGCCATGCCTTTATCTTATTCTCTCTCTCAGGATGTCAGCATCCCAGACCTCATAAAGCAGTTAGACATCCTAGGAGATAATGGGGTAAGTTAAAGTGGGAGATATATTTCCTTTTACAAGCTGCATTTTGTACAGTAGAGCAAGGGAAATCTGTAATATCATGACAGTTTTCTAAGATACTCGTTAAAGTATGTAATATCAGAAAAATTCATTTAAGGAGTATTTATTTCCCTAAGTTAAGGATTTGTGAGGTTTCAGTAGTCAGAGCTAGTAATGAAGTAGCAGCTTTCACATCTGGTTTAGCAGAGTGGGAAGAATATCCAAAGGCCACTGATATTGGAACTGGGCCTGACTGCACTCCAGTTGTTCAGGAAAGCACATGAATTAGTTTGGCAGTCTGAGCCAACCACATTTTCATCAGGACTAGGATTCCTCTGCAAACACTTTCATAAATAGGCAAGAATTACCAAATTCCCTGTGGCTTTCTAAGTGGGTGTTGCTGCCCACTTTAGTCATCCATGTAAAAGAGATCATCCTGTGTCCCTGGCCAGCATTAGATATGTTTTAAGAAAATGTATAAGAAATAAAAACAAAGAATGATGATTGTCTATTCATTCACTGGTGTAAATTAGCACTATTTTTACAAAAGCTTTAATGGAAATTCAGTTTTGTCAAACTAGCATCAAGACATACAAATGGGTCTAGTTTACATTTCTCATAAGATGCAATGGAATGAAAACGTACAGCTAGTCTATATCATGCAGAAAGGCAAAAGCAGTGTTTTCTTTTTAATATGTTAACAGACTCTGAATGTTTTGATGGGAATGTGATACCCAGTACTACAGGGATCCCCTGAAAACTGTTGACCCTCATCTATAGCCTGGATTATCTTTATTCGTGCAGGAAACTGCTGCCAACTTTCTTCTTCCCTCTCTTTCTCTTCACAGAATTTAAGAAATGAAGAACAAGTGGCCATAATTCAGGCTTCCACTGTATTGTCCTTGGCAGAAAAGGTAAATTGTGTGCTTGCTTTTCTCATGCGTTATCTAAGGCCTCATCTAACACTGGAAATTTTCTGCTCTGTTGTTGGTGGTCAATGTTGCCAAACTTTCTAGTGTAGGAAGTGATTCCCCATAGAAAGTAAACTGTGCCAGCACAGTCCCAAACACCTTGCTAAAGCAGCAAAAAATTGCACATTTAGCTGGCCCAAGCTGTGAAGTTAAAACAACTGCAAATACAAAAAGAATGTAAAATGAATCTTGCAATTGTAAACAGAATGAAAAACCATCAGACATTTGAGCCATAATTAGTTATAGTGTGGGATTTCTAGTCCTGAGATTTTTCAAAGCTTCTGAAAGGATCTGTACATAAAACTTCTACTGAAAGTATGTGTCTTAAGTTCCTTACAGCAGGTTACAGCTCTCATTGTCTTCCCTCCAGTGGATCCAGCAGATTGAGGGAGTTGAAGCTGCTCTGCATCAGAAAATGATGGAACTGGAAAGTGATATGGTAAGCAAACTTTCCTTAATACGTGTTTTAGGGGCAAGACACTGAGTGTGTCACGTTTACTTGGTGGGCCAAAAGATAACTAAAAAGGTCTTTTGGCAAATTAAGTGTGCAGGCTCTCTCTTATTATTGGTGAATCCATAAAATTGTTACTGGCCTGGTTCACATGCAACAGCAGAGTAACACAGATCCACAAATAGTGATGGTTTGAAAACTCTCTCTTTTCCTGAGGATGTTTATTAAAAAGAACGGAAGGCTCAAAGGTTGCTTGGTGATTTTCAGAGATGTAAATGACCACACTCTATGTCTTATAAGATTCACAGTCTAAACATCAACTTTTGTATCACATTTTATTCAATACCAATATGTGGGAAACTAGTGAATTATTATGCTGTTTTCTTTCATTATATTTTAAGCCCATAACATCCTAAAGGTAAAATATTCATAGCTGAACTGGAGTTGCTGTACCACCAGTAAAGTTAGTACCTTACCCTATTCTTATTCTTGTTAATGGAAATAACCTACAAGACGAACAAGCAACTACAGGAGTTGGATAGCTGTAGTGTTTTGCACTGTGTTCCTATGGTATGTTTGTAATTGAGTCAATTCAGTTTAAGGCTGGCTGAGAAGTTAAAGCACAGCAGCTTCCCCCAAATAACGTGAATGTGAACATGTCTGTTTAGTTCCTGTTTAGTTTATTGTATTTTCACACTTATTCCAAAATAAGAGAAAGCACAAGAGGGGTTGTTCATGATGCCAGAGGAGGTGTCTTTGGAAAAACCACACAGAAGCCCCTAAATTACAGTACTGACATGCCAAGCGATATCACTGAAGTCAACAAAGAGACAATGGATTTAGTTCCATGTAGATCAGAGGTACTATCATACAAAAGCAATCCACAGCTATTTTCCCTTCCTTCTTCTGTAGCTGAGTCAGATATTAATAACTCTGCAGTGTCAGTTGGAGACCAGTCTTCTAGTCCTGCCCGAGTCAGATATCACTAGTTGATTTAATAAAACTTCCCAAAGTATTTTGAGTAACTAATTAATTTTTCTGTCTAAATGATCCTCATTGTAGGAGCAATTTTGCAAAATAAAAGGTTATTTGGAGGAAGAACTAGACTACAGGAAGCAAGCTCTTGACCAAGCATACATGGTATGTACAAAGGAAATTCTCCAGCACGTATTGGCCAGCACCATGACAGGACATAGACTCCTCTTGGATGAGGAACAAGAGGGGTTTGCTTTGTTGTTAGTACATTTTTTTTTTTTTATTTGTTTGTTTTCCCAATTTTTCTAATGCACTAGCATGAAATCTGTACAGCTTCAACACGACACCTAGCTTTTTCATGTCACAAAAAGGCAGGTATCCTGAAGTCTGAAACTTTTGTTGGTTAAAGGCAGATACTGCGCATTAATGTCAGCTTTTCCAGCTGGAGTCAGTGCAACCAACTGGAACTCAGCTCTGGAATCTTGGCCATTTTGCATGTGTCAGAGCACGAAGATGATATGTCACAAAAAGCAAGAGTTCCTGCTATAAACACTGCTATATCAAATTCTGATAGCAGTCTGATAACTGGTTGTGCAAGTTCATCATATTTGGTTTATCAAGTTAATGAGAATGCTCATTGATTAGCAGGATTAAGAGCAAAGTAGTCTGGTAGTGACCTTCAATCTTTCCTCTTTTGCTTTTTAGCATAATGGGTCAAAATTTAACAATTGGTGAAATATTCATCCTTACACTTAAAAAACAAGTATGAAGATTCTATCCAACTCCTAATTATCTCTGTAACTGCTTAAAAAACTTCAGTGGGAGATTTTAGAAAAATTAATATTAAAATATCTTAAAAATAAAAGTTTGTATCCTTTTGCCAAAACACTTTGAGTTCTGCTTTTAACATTTTTGCACACTTGAGCACAGGGACCCTCTCTCAGGAGCAGAATCTGCCATCAACCCCCCAGTTCCCACTGTGTTTTAAACAATGTTTCATCTCTAATTGGCTTTTGGTATTGCATCAACCAGAGGATCCAGGAGCTTGAAGCCACCTTGTACAATGCTTTGCAGCAAGAAACGGTGATAAAGTTTGGGGAACTACTCACTGAAAAACAGCAGGAAGAGCTGAGGACAGCAGTTGAAAAGCTGAGACGTCAGATGCTGAGGAAAAGCAGAGAGTATGATTGCCAGATTCTGCAGGAGAGGATGGAGCTGCTCCAGCAGGCTCATCAGGTAAGGAAGAGGAACCACGCACACGCCCCTCTGCTCAGCTTTGCAGTGTGAGAAGATAATCTGGGGCCAAATTTAGGCAAGCTCCAGGTCACGAGGGAGTTTTTTGAGTTGTTTCATACTTTGTCTCTTTACTGTGTAAACAAACAGATGTGATATTAGCTTCTGGAGGATTGGTATGCTATGTTTTAAGTCTTAAAATTCCAAACCAAGGTGCAAATGCAGAATTCTGTCCATGTGAATCTAGGTTTGTAACAAAAATGGTCATCCCCAGTTATTAGACTGGGCACAAGAGGAACTTTGTGAACTCATGTACACAGAAGAGCTATCTGTTTTTTCCAGACACTTTTGCTCTGTCCCCCCCAAAGTGGGCAATTGTAAGGAGTGTAACCATGATCTTACACTTTCCATCTATTTAACAAAGGATTAATATAAAATAGATAATGTGAAACAGACCCACTATTGATATTAATTTCCAGCATTTGAGGCTGCAGTCACATACATGCAGTAGCATATTTTGAGCAGTTGCACACACAGTATGGTAGTGGTTGGGCAGCGTTAGTGGATGGAGTCATGGTACTACAGAAGACTATCCCTGCTGAAGAAATTAGTTGATTTCTAGGCTTTTGGCACTTGGAACATTGAGTTACTTGTTCAGAGGAGCAGATATACTGAGAATTTAGTCTAGATGCTTTCTTTTCTGATTTCCAGAGGATCCGAGATTTAGAAGATAAAACTGACATCCAAAAGAGACAAATTAAGGATCTGGAGGAAAAGGTTGGTTCTCTTACACTTCTCAAGCACACTGATCAACTTTTTTGAAAATAATGATTTAGTTCTCTTGAACTATGTGAACTTTTTGTTTAGCTGAATCAGCTGGACCTGTTGGTGTTCTGCTATGCTTTCTTTCCAGTTTGTGTTTCAGTAGATAGAGACTTTATTCTTAGGGTCTCCTCCGTAACATTTCATTTTAGGAAATAAATGCCAAACAATTTTAATTATGGTGAATGATACTGAACCAAATGATGAAGCCTTTACTTGGCTGTTTACTGCTGCGTTGGTGGAAGGGCAGTACTGCCACTAAAGGCAAGGGGAAGCAAGGGCTGGGTGAAGCGGAGTGCGAGTCTCAAGACTGTTCCTGTCTGGGGGACAGGGGGACCCAGGTTCTGTTGCTGTCCTCGTTATTGAAACTTGTCATTGACTATGCAATGTAAGTACATAACCAGAATCTTGCCCCTAACCTGAACTGTCAAAGAACTAGATATGCACATTCTTTATATACACACACATACTCTCTCTAAAAATACACACTTCATTTTTGTGATGAATAAGGCTAACTCTGTGACATTCAGTTTTGCTCCCTGTAGAAGATGGGTTAGATAGGATTGTTGGATAAAGACCATAACATGGGCACAGCATGCTGCTGCCAATAATGGCTTTTCTAGAAATGCCAGACTGGCGTGAGATGCACCTCCAGCGGTAGCCTTGCTAATGTACTTATATTAGTAAATATCAATGTACCAGTGTAAGCTATAATATGAAATAATTGCTATATTAGTACAATGACAGTAGTGCTAATGAGCTCTTTCAGTTTATATGTAAGTTTCTAAAGTGAAATGAGTGGGCATAATGCAAAACTCGATGCAAGTAAGTCTTTCCACTTTTCTGCCAATATTTTTGTGATACAAGGACTCGGTGTCTTTCTTTCTAATACATAAAACTTGGAAAAATAAAAGCTGATAACCTGTGCTGAAAATGAAACAACAAAGCAAAGCCTATGCCGTGGTCAAAAGGAGACCTTGAGTAGGAGACCTCTCGTATCAATTTTCAAAAGAGCTTTCAACTCACAAAAATTCACACCCCAGAAGACAACACATTCATGATTAAAATGAGACATCCAAAAATTGATTATTAAGCATTTAATGGTTAGGGTTTGGTATTATGCATGTGTGTGTATATATGCTGCTTTTTTTTTCCAGGCTATTTCCAGCACGGATTGCAGGCACTGGTTTGTAACGCACTTAAAAATACTACCTGTGCTATTTCTGATATCCAGCTTTGCTATTTCAGCCAACCCGTGGTAGTTCATAGTGACAGTTACATCTTAGGCTTCCAACATGGTGCCAATTGCAATTCATCACCACAAATAATGGGATCTCTTTTCTAAGGGTGCGAGGTGGTATGCTGCTTACAGAAGTAACTGGGGAAATACAGTGTTTTCTGAACGCATAGTTATTCTGATTGTCCTACAGAGTGCAAAAACAATCTGGCTTACAATGCCATGACGTTTAGTTTTTACGCAATATTCTTTTTCTTCCGCAGTTTCTGTTTCTATTCTTGTTCTTCTCTCTTGCCTTTATTCTTTGGCCTTGATGTCAATGTGCCTCTTGGAAAGGTAAGACAAATTTATTTCCTCAACACTAGCACTTCTTGCACAGAGCTGGGGATCCCATCCGTGTGTGTTCTTGTGTGTGTCTGGAGTCAGAAACTTCAGCAGGTCATTGCTGATTTGTAATAGCTCACATGGAAGGTCATCACAGCGCTGAGCTGACACAGGGAGCTGTGGTCAGACCAACAGCATCCGACATGCTTGCAAGTGAATTGCCAAAGCTTGTGAGAGATACTGTGCTATTCAGAATTGTAAAACTAAAAGCTAATGAGAGTTTCACAGTATCAAATAGCCAAGAGAATTGCAGGTGAATTCAATGCTGATGTTTTCAAAGTGATACTGAAAGACTGAAAAGACTTATAAATTTCAACCATATGGAGACTCTGGGCTCTGAACTGCCACTTGGGAACAGATCAGGAGGTTGTAACAGGTAGAGCTCAGCGCCCAGAAGTAGGAGAGGTACCAAGAAGGGCAAGGAAGAATGATCTGCTGCTGGGAGACGGGAAGGGGGAGACAGAGATGGAAGGACTTTTCTGGCTCAGAAAGGAGACACTGTTAAAAGGGAGATATGAGAGAGGTCTTTTCATCAGAAAATGTTGTCTTCCTGATTTTAATTCTTTTAAGTTGAAAAGGTTTGGGGTTTTTTTTTTCAGATAAAAACTCAGTGGTAGATGCAAATGGCAAAAAGTTCCACAAAAATGCATAAAAATAATTTTTGTTTACACATATGACATTTTTCATTAGAAAAGAAAAAGATGATTTACATGAAAACTTTAATTCACCTGTAGTTGAACTTAGAATAGGAAATCCCTAGTCCCAGGATAAAAGCCTGTCACTGGCCATCGTGTCTCCTGCCACTGGTGAATTTTAGGCAGCTTTGGTTTGAGATTTACTGAAACTGGTGCATAACTATTCATCTGAACATGCCCACAGGGATGTTTATGGACCACAGGGCTGTAGTTTATAGTGCTAAACGGACAGGCATGGTAAAACACCCAGAGTTTTCACAATTGTCTTTCATACAGACAAATGGAAACAGTTTAAGCTGATAACTTTAAGTACAGACCTTTCCAACTCTCTGATTGATGGACTGCGTCTTGTCAGCTGGGGTAAGTGGGCAGAGGAACATATCGCTTATCTCATACCGAAGTGTTTTTTTTTTTTTTTTTATTTTTTAGAGTGCTTGACCACACAGATAAGTCCTTATAAAGGCAAATGCTTCCATCCCCTGATGAAGACAACATTGTTTACACCTATTTTTAAAAGTATAAAAATGAACAACCTGTAGCCAAGACTGCAACCACCTTGTATTTTAAAGCCATCACCCAAGATTTGTTACTTGACAGTTCCTGTCTAAAGCTATGATATATGCTGCATCTAATGAAATTCTGTATGTTGAAATTAAAAAAGAGGAAGAAAAATGAACTGTGAACCTACATCACGTGGGAAGAACTTGATGGGAAGGAACCACTTTCAGCTGATCAAGTCAGTGTGTCTTGGGCATGGAACCAAAGTTACAACAGAAAATCTATCCCTGCTGTGCAGGGCAGTTGTTTAAATGTGACACCGTCATCCCAGGAACGGATCCAGAGTTGACAGGACAAGAGGGAGAAATGCTTTCGAGCCATGGGGAGATGCTGACAGCAAGGCATTCACTTGGAACTGTCTGGCTTTCTCGCTGCAGGGACTCCTCCTTTCCCTCTTTGATTTTTCACCTCAGGAAGAAATGACAGCTGCAACATGGGGGAAGAAAGGAAAAATCTGACTTATTGCAGGAGGGGCAGGACAGGGCACCACGTTTACACTTACGATCACAGAGCACCACCCGACTGGGCAAAAGGAGGGAAGAGGAGGGTGTCCGTAGAAGGAGGATTTCTGACAGAGTCACCGCCTTATCTCTCTTCACACTCCCTGCATGAAGAACAGCCTGTCTATTGTCTGACTCTAATCATACTCTTCACAGGCTGCCATTGAGAGAATAATGACCATACTTGGTTTTACTATTTGAATAGTACACTGAGGATCGCTGGGTTGGACCTGCAGAGTAGCTTCTGAGAAAGAACAGAAACATGTTGGAGGACAGAGGGGATAAAAGCCAACCCCCTTGTTCATATGGTAAGATCCACAAAGCATCAGCTTCCAACTGTTCTGTCCCAGCTTGGAACAAATGTCTTGGTTTGGCTTGTCAAACTGATTTTGTTAGCTGGCTTCCTGATCAACCACACACCCACACACCCACCCACCCCAAAAATGGGGAAAAGCTGTGTGAGCACATCCTTATTAGCAGTAAGGAGAAGTATCGCTAGTCTGTTTAGATTTTTCCACAGTTAGGAATAACTAGTAGTAGTTTGCATTTCAAAGCATTTCTTACCTCTCTGATCACAAACCTGGAACCCCATCTTGGTGCGTCCTGGAGGCATCACTGGTCCGTGCCCCGAGCTGGACAGAAACAGCCCCGAGGAGCTGCGTGGCAGAAACACTAGAGAGGCCTGAGCCTGTGCCCATCGTCCCCTTCATCATCGTGTGGGACAGTGCACTTCTCTGCGCCCTGCTCTCATCCCCCTGGACCGGAGCCGTGCCTGTTGAGGTTCCTGTTGCCAGGCTCCTCCTCTGAGCGGTGTCTTCCATGATGGAGCCTTAATTTTAGCTGGGAGAAATGGATATCTGTGTTACAAAATAGAAAACTAAGAGCCAGAACGCAGCCTGTCCTTTACTTAAACCTTCAAAACAGGGCTTACGAGTACCGACATCTTACGCACACAGCCTCTGCCCTTCAGAAGCTTTAAAAGTGCTTTACCCAGAGTCTCTCCTTTGTTTGCTGTTTACTTCCACAGACGAAGCAGCTGAGGCACTAAGCAGTGAAGTAACTTCCCCAGCAACACAGCAGGTCAAAAGCAGTTCCTCAGCCATCACAGGGGTGAAGTTCCTCTAGTGTCGAGGATGCCTGCCCCTCACAGATATTTTTTGGCCAGAATAGCTTTGAATCATTAATATCCATTTGTCCAACTGGATTGTAGTGCTGGGCTCCATTTCCCAGCAAAGACTCCTAACATCCTCATTTCTTGCATCAGATTGTGTTAAACCTCCCATCACAGGTTAGAAGCTATTAGCAAGTGATTTTTTTTCCTGCTCCTTAAAATTAATTTGAATTGCAGTATGACCACAGCTTCTTGAAACAGTCTGTTTCAGTTAAGGGATTTATCAAATTCTGCACCAGCTGTATGTTTGTTGATTTGTTTTCTTAGAACGGGCCTGTAGGCAGATATGTGAAATGAATACAGGTATGTTGCATGCTCTTTGTTCAAATTCTTTTTCCCTCGCAGCAGACTCCATGGATAAGGTTGGCCCAGACCGACCTGTGCTGCTGGCAGCTCAGGCCCTTCGAGAGTCTCCTCCCACACCGGTGACACCTCTCCATCACTGAACAATGTCACTGGTTAGCTACAAAAGGGGGGTTCCCTCTCTGGGGGTTCCCTCTCTGGGTATTCCCTCTTCTCCCTCCGCTGATGATTCATTTCGTACCACTTGGCTGCAGTGTCCTGCAAGTAAATACAGGCTAGCACCTGTTTTCCCTGGCATTAGGGCCAGCAATTAAATCACTGAGCTCTTCTTGCAGAAGAATGAGCAGCGCCTGTTTTCCGTGATGGTGCAGTAATTTCCACCTCTGCTTTGGCTCAAAAAGTGAGGAGGACTAGAAACATTTGTTTGAGGCAATCATAGGGAAGGTTCCTGGCACAGACTGAAATACCCCGTTTCAGAGCCCACTGACTGATGCTGTGGTGGGCTGCTTCATTTAGCCCCTCTGAGCTGTGCTGTGCACGTCTTACTTTATGTCTCTCTTTTGCCCAATTCTCCCTCCCTTACTCTTACGCACACGTCTGTGTGGGGGGGCTCGGGCTGGGGGTGACAATCCACAGCTCACCTTGGTCTGCAAACTTTTAAAAGATTGTTGTATCCACTCCAGAGAGGAACAGCCACTGCTTTGCGTCCTCACAGCAGAACATCAGCCATGCCTAAAACACACTTGCTGGTACAAGTAATGCAAACGTCCTGCTGTCAGCTAGATCAAAATGAGTTTGAAGTTTGTGTATATATATATACATGTATCTATATATGTATATGTACATATATATACATCTATATGCATATATCTATCCCCTATTGTATATAGTAAATTGTTGCTATAGCTTATGAAAATATCCTTCTAATCTAGGTACGGGGAATTGAGTCTAGACTTGTTTAGCTGCCACAGCTGCTCTGCTCTTCCCTGTTTACTTTTACATCTCATGGGCAACTGGTTCTTGGATCTGTTTTTCTGGGCTCTTCCCCCTTCTCTCTCCTGACACTGTTTATCTGGGGCTTTCGGCTGCTCCTGACCTTCACTGGGGCAAAGTACTGAGAATCCTCCCTCAACCTGGTCATTGCAGCCAACCTCCCCTCCCCAAAACCAACCAGCAAAACAAAAATTGATTGATGGCGGCCTTTGAGGACAGCAGACACAGCCCTGGATTCCTCCCGCCCCGAGGGTCCCAGCGCTCCAGGCCCTCCCTACCCTGAACCGGACCTGACTCACTGCTTTCCCTCTGCTGGCTGAGCCAGGAGATTTTGAAGACTATTCTTTCTATTTTGGCACTTCAGCTGGAGACCTGGTTGGGTGAGAGGAATTTGGCGCTGGGGGCTGTAGAGGAGATGGGGTTTCTTGTAGCGTTACCAGCCCAGCTCACGGCTCACTCCTCCCTCCCTGATCTGCCTGGAGGACGATGGAGACTTTGCCTGTCCATGTGCTTCATTTCCCAGCTCCCTGCCCTCATCTCAGTGGGAAACATCCTCTCAGCCCCGAAGCTTTCCATTCTGTGGCACCCCATGAGGACTGAGCAGGCCCGGCGCCCCTCCTCCCCAGGGCACGGTTGGGCCGATGGCGACGCAGCTGCGGCTGATTCCAAGGGTTTCTCTTTCCCCAGCCCTCCCTCACATCAGCACCTCTGTGTTTTTATGGATACTTTTTGTTCCCAATTTTTTTGGTGTCTGTTCCAGAACAGAATTGTAAATGACTTGGCAGAATGACCCTTTGATAAACACTGGACATGTATCTGTACTATATATATTAACGTGTAGAAGAGAATCCTTATTGTATGTAAAGTTTTATGAATGGTTATTTTTTAATTTATGTATTTAATATAGGATTCAATGACCTCTGGTGTTTTAGTTTGTAAAAAATAAAACAGCATTTTTAATAAAACAACTCACTCACTTTACACTCTTTACATTCACGGAGATAATCAGCATCCGTCCGGGATCGGTGCAGAGGAACCGCGTTGGAGCAGAGCCGCTCCCCGGGCCGGCTCCCTCCCTCTAGGGGCACCGGGGAGCCCGGGCCACGGCAGCGCTCCTGGGGAGGTCGGTGCGACAGCTTCGGTGCCCCCCCCGCAGTGACCGGCTGCTCCGCAGCAGCTTTCCCAGCGCGGGCCCAAGATGGAATTTATTGTTTATTTGCAGGGGAGAGGGAGCTGCTGCCCCGGCTGCAGTCGGGAGGAGGAGAGCGCCCGGGGAACCTTCCTCTCGCTCTGCGCTCCGGCTCCCGGCGCTCTGCGGTACCGCACGCGCCGTTACCGGTGCAGCGGGGATCGGGTCGGTTCCCGTCGCTGCAGGAACCGGACGGAGGCACCGCCCGCAGCGCCGGCTCCGTCTGTCGGTGAGTACCGCGGGGCGGGGGTCACCAACCGCCGGGCGCCACGGCTCCCCCGGCCTCGGCCGGTTGGGCGCGTCACGGCCGTGACTCGCGGGCGGGTCTCCCTTCCCGAACCTGCCACCGCTTCCCCGGGGATCCGCGGGCTCGCGCTCCGCCCCGGGAGGGCACGGGCAGGCTCGGCGCGGGGACAGGCCGGGGTCCGGACACCGGCGGCTACACCGCCTCCTGAGGCGTCGCGGCGGCGCGCGCCGTTCCGTGTCCCCCCGCAGCCACACGGGGACGCGGTCGGCGCCACCACCGGAGCTGGCGCCGCCGGGACCGCGGCAGCCAACGCGCTCCCCTGCGCCGGAGGGACCGGGCCGGCCGCGACCGCGCTGACCAGGGACGGGGCCCGACCAGGGAAGGCAGCG